AAGGTTAATTTAAGCATGTAAAGAACAAAAACTGCTAAGAAAAGGATCATAAAGGGAATTCTATAAATTAAAATTACAAAATAAAATAAAAATAAACTCACTATATAACATTGGCTATTCAATAATGCAATTCACACATTCCAATAGTTTCTGCAACAAAACGGGAGACCCTAAACACAAAATATAACATAGTTAGTAACGATGATAATACTATTAACAATTAACAATATGGCATCGTGGAGCGGGCAAAAGTTAAACGTGCGTTATTACCATTTCGCAGTATATCTACCATTTCATTGACATTAACTCGTGATATGTCTACTAACTTCGTATTTAATTCTCTCCCAAGCAACATCATGAAAGCCTTGCTGTCTTTTGTGACGAGTTTTTTACTCGTGGATGCTTTTTATATGGACCTGTAGGAAAACAATTTAACGCAGAGCTATCATTACCTGGTTCGATATTGGTAATTATTTTAAATTTAGTGTACTAACTTGTTAGTGAACTTTACAATATTTAAGTACTGTTTGTGAATACACACTGTATGATTTCATTGACATTACTAATTATATGCTTCTTCGTGACGCCGTCAGGTTCCCTGTGGATTCGATACTTTCTGATATCTATTAGCTGTTAATAGTGTTATTGTTACTAACAATGTCATATTTTCTTTTGAGTTCAGGGTTCCAAATTCTGTGGAAGTGACCAATTCGGAATACCCTTGTGCATTCCCGATGTAATACTCTTAGTTTATTGGTTGTTATAACGTAAATGTTGCTAATAATGAATTTTTCGATACACTTAGGGTGCAACCTGTTGTTCCGACGACGGGAAACAGATAAAATTATATTATTAATGATTTCTTTATAGGACTATTTTATTCTCATTCTATTTGAAACGCCCCTATCAGTTAAAAGGTCAATTTGCTTACAAATTGCCAAGGAGACCCTTAGAAACCCTTCTTTCTCGTAAATCATTCAGTCTAGCTCGTAATCACGCTGCGAAACCCTTTAATTCGAATAATTTTAGAATTGACGCAACAGTACGTACTACAGTCAGACCTCTCTAAGTGCAATTATTCTCTAAATGCACGTTCTGATTTGGCCCCAACTTATAAGGTGTATTTTTATCTCCATAAATGCAATACCTCTCTAAGTGCAAATTGCACTTAGAGAGGTCTGATTGTAATAAAAAATGTCGAAGACAATTTTACATATAACCTTTTCCTTCGCTCTAATCCTAATCCTGATTCTAACTTAAAATCAACCTTTAACGTTAATTTCCGAATTTTACCAGAATCGGCGTAACCTGTCAGAAATGCGTCATTTTCCTTGATTGCGGGTTTTTAAAGTTTCAAACCTTATTTTCTCGATAATCATTGATCAGATTTTTGTAATTTTGGTCTTATTACATTCGCCTTAGTAAGATCGAATTATCGTGAATTTTAGTTTTTTTTTTTTTAGTTAAAAACGCATTCAAGTTACAAAATTTTTTAGAGCATTTAATTATATCCGAACCTGCATTGACACGGAAAGAGAGCACACCAAGTACTGATATTTTAGGGCATAATGTCCTACTCAGAGGCCATTACTTTCACCGGGGACTGTACATGGAAATGTTCACTGACAAATTTGTCAGACACGTGGTCGGACACATTTGTCCGTGTTTACTTAATACGTGTTCATGTACATGTACATGTATTCGCGTACAACACTGCACTGTTAGAATGTACGTACATGTATATACATGTACGTACAATGTGTTATTGTTATCGTTATACATGTACATGTATTTAACGTTAACCTCAACCAGAATTAGTGCTGACTGCATTGTCAAACTTTTCGTTTTAATTATCGCAAGAACACGCACAGTTTAATATATTAAAAAAAAATGGAAATGAATCTGAGACATACCAACCCATACCAATACCAATACCAATACCAACCGTCCTTTTTCGAAGATTATGTGGTTTATCTACGAAAGCAATGTTCATCAGGAGAAACCAAAAATAACCAATTTCCCGACCCAGACCCTTTTATTAATAACTTAATCGACACACTTAAAATAAAGTCAACCATATTTGCCAAGTTAAAGTTCATTCTACATCTTGGCTGGCTTGTACTGACGATGATGACTAATATCTTATCCATTTACATCGGCGCATACGCCAATCATAGAGAAGGAGTTGATTTGTTCATCCACGTCTTTGAGTTTTATACTATTGCCTTGATGTTCCTAGTTGGTTTCATCTTCCCGTTTGTCATGGCCCTCTTCAAGGAAAGACAGCGATCCGGCCACTATTTATATAAACTGATTAATTATATGAGGGCTATTTCGGGGTTCTCACTGTTCTTGTTGGTCAAACTTTTGAACTTTGATGTGGCAAGTTATTGGTTCAAAAAAATAATGAACAAAAAAATGTCAAAGCGAAAGAAAAGCATAATGAGAGCCATGTTGATTCTTGAATTTGTAATACTTGTACCAATTGCTATCGTCGCACTCTATCTCAAATGTCAACAAATCTCTATAACATTGGCACCAATCATCTCCCAAAATGTGATCAACCTGTTTCAAAAAAATTATCTCGAAACCTTGAAAATTATCATCAGTTTTGCGGGATTCACGCTCAACATAGCTTATCTGCAAAAACTTCCAAACATGGATTGGTGGTTAATGGTCCATCATATAGAGAACGTGGAATTCTACAACCTGTTGGCAGATAAGAAGGGGAAATGGTATACGATAAGAGTGCTACTTAAATATGATACTGCATTGAGTTTGGATAAATTATTTTGGAAGGCATTGCAGAGTGTTGCAGATTAACAGCAGATACTGTAAAACGCCGCCGCCGTTTAAAGTACTCAGGGGTACTTTACACTATGGAACAATTTTATTCTTTTGATTAATACTGAATAATAAGACTACAGCTAATATTATAATTTTTCATTTTTTTAAGTACTGTACACCATTTAAAAATTCGGTATAATACAAAATTTACTGAGGGGGGTAGTGTACTTTTTACGGTAGTGTGATATATAATATATCGATAAACAATGATGCATTGTGCATGATTCAATTTTCTGTGTGGTGTGGGATTGTGGGGATGATGTATATATGTCATGTACTAACCTAACCTTATGTGGTTGTGCGACCAAATATAATTGACTTTTGCGTATTAACATCGGAATCTTTCTCTCGTGCGAATTTGACGACGAAAAATTGCCAATAAACTTGTAAATTTTCAGAAATCTTTACGACAAGTAAATAACCGAAAGGGCATAAAATGAATGAAGAACGAATACAGAAAGAAGTAAGGTAACTAGCTAACTAGCAAACCAATTGATCGTATACTAAAAATTTCAGATCTTTGTATGCTATTTCCATTTTTTCTGCGTATGGTTACACGAGCTGCCTTGGGTATTTGTTTTTCAACCTTAAGCCTGCTCACTCTGTGAGTGGGCTCGCTCCATAACCGAACAACTTCACATGATATTCGGAACCACTTAATGGTCAGCGCTTTGAGGAAACTTGACAAGCATCACATAAACACAAACACTTACCGTGAACATTCAGATGCATAAGAACATATTCACATTGAAACAGATTCATTTGGAAGGTGTGATTTATTAAAATTTATTTTACATGTATATCACAGTTAAATACATATTGTTTATTTCGCACCACATGTGCAATAATCATCATAGCATGCTATCTTTGCCAGAGGAAATATAACGTGACGTGACTGATCAACTGGAAGAATCCAGTGCCGGGCATTTCTTTATCGTATATTCTGACTCAAACTTCTTCGTGCACCAACACCCAGTCCAGTCATTTTTATGCTTATCAATCCATACTCAAAATTGTTGAAGTATTCCAAGGTATCAACATCGTCTGTGAAAGCCCAGAAAGTAAGGTTCAGGAATCGAGATGGACCACTTAAGTTCGGGCGGGCCTATGCGATCCGCAAAGACGTTAGTTAAGGAAACATTGTCGCATGTATTTATGTAAACATTTTACCCAATCCAAAATTTCTTCTCTTTGCCTGAACTTTTCTCACGCGCGTAAAAGGACTCGACTTTTTCAGGTGACTGAAATGTTTTAAATGAATTGGAGATTCTATTAGATGTGAGGGATCGGATTTTTCTCGAGCTGTTTGATACAATAAGTACTATGTTTGATAGTGGCAAAAACCCTGTGACTGACTTTATGTGATCAAAGCGTGAAACAGGTATTTTTAAAAAAAATCTTGGATCAATTTTATAATTTCATAATAAACTAACAAATTTAATTGTTTTTATGTATAGTATTCGCTACTTGGACTATTCACAAGATGAACACATATTCTCTTGGATTTTTGAATCGCAGAACAAAGAAAATCCACTCCCTCCAGAACCTATTCTTTTGTTTCTTGGCTGTTCAGCAATGTTCAGACTTTTTCAAAAACTGGCAAATCGGAATAAAAATAATATACTGCAATCTTTTAACAGGATTTTTGCCCAAAGCACGCCACCAAAAAGACTGGTTTTACAAAAATAGCATAAATATGCTTGTCTGGCTATTGCTGTCTCCGAAATTCCCAATCAACTTTTGAATCAAAACGATTTGTGAGAAACTATACAAACTGCATGGAATGGTATCAAAATCGAATTTTGTATAATAAATGATAAGCATATGTACCGTAAAAAGACCAATTTTCTCCTAAGACAAAAACTTACCTTCAAAAGAAACGCAGCACCTAGAAAAATCTAATTTCAATAATTAGCATTAGATAGTTATTAGTGATTAAATTAATATAAAACAATTACTGCACTTTATGTTTGAAACATCGCTGGTCAAAAAGTATTTTAATGGTGAAAAATACAAGTTTATTATTTTTGCCATTATTTTGCCTCGGCATTTCCAAATCTTTTCGACCATGTATTCAATAGCTTCATTTATATCTCCTAAACCCTCTTTGTCGTTTTGATAACGTAATCATTTTCAATCTTGCTGATTTCAGTATCATTTGAATGTGTTCCGAGTCCATTTTTATAATGCAAACCAAAATTCTCACTATATTTTGCAAGATACCCAGCAGCGCTTTCGGACAAGTCGATTGTATTCGATCATCAGAAGCTTTATTCACTACTGTCACTTTACTCATGACTGTCATTACTTTCATCAGCTTGGAATAAATAATAATCAGATAAAAATAGCAATATAATAATTCTTCAAACATTCACATATATATATATATTTGTTTCTTTAAATGGAATTATCGAAAACTAATAACGATAGTAGTGATCAACTCCAATCCCAAATCAAGAAAAATGTGTTAACTAATGCTAAGTAAATTAATATTTGAGCGACGAGAAGTGCATACATAATCATACTAGACAAATAACAATAAAAGATGAAAAAGATATACAAAAAATAACTGATAATGAATTTAAAATTGAAGAACAAGATTAAAAGATTAAACTTTTTGTTAGAATTCAAACAACACCTAACATCAATTTTAAACCAATCAATTAAATATAATCAAAAGAAATAATAAACCAAAAAATTAATAAACAAGATGTTTAAATTGGAAATAAAAGATATATCTATGATTATAATACATGTATACTAAATTTAACTAAAGTAAAATTCATATAATTAAAATTATAAAAAAATTTTGCATAAGTTTAATATAAATAAAATTAACAAAATATCTATATGTATTTTATTTAATATTTTTTTATAAATAATTACATTAATTTGTTAATTTTTTTTATCAGATCAAATAGTAATTTTTTTAAGAATATAATTAAAACAGGATTTTTATTCACTATTAAAGATGGATTTCAAAACTGATGACATAGTTTAGAGATATAATCGAAATTAGTTTAGATTATAGTTATATCTCTCCTCTTTCCCAGGTAGTTTAGAGATCTATCTTTATTCACTATATGTTAATTACTAATACTAATCAAATAACAATATTATATATTATATTAGACATTTTGCTCTTTGTATAATGATTCCATTAAATACAAAAATATTATATAAAGGAAAAGTATTTTATATCAAATAGCAATATATAATTTACTAAATATTATATAATAATATATATAAAAAAAAAAGTTCATACCAATTTAAAATAATTTATTAAAAATTGTATAATGCTATTTATTCTTATATAATTGCTAGAAATTTGTTTTTAAAAAAGAATTCTACATAGTTAATCTCATGATAAAAATTTAAAAATTTATTTTATTAAATTCAATTTATACAAGTTTATTATAGTTATTCCTAAATTATCTTCTATTTATTGAGATAAATTAATGATATCTTTTTCTAAAACCAAATTCAATTTATATAGATTTTTAAATATTAATTTCATTAAATTAAAGTTATCAAACACTTTTTTGTGAGATAATTAATAAAAAAACTTGTATTAATATTCTAAATACATAAGTTTGAAATATTCTGTAATATATTATACTTAATATTTTATAGTTACTTTTAAAAAGCTATAGCAAAAATTATTTTAGCTTATTTTTGTATTTTCTTCTTTTTCTAAGCTAAATAAAAATATAATATATTTTTAATTAAAATTATATAAATTTCATAATTTTGATTTATAATTGCTCAAAATATTTGAATTATTCTGTAATTTAATTATAAAACATTTTTCAAATTTATAATTAATAATAAAAATTTTTTAAACTTGCTTATTTTTAACTTATAGACAACTATAATTTTTATAATATTAAAAAGTAAAAATAACTATTATATAATATATAATTAAGCTAAGATTAAACATATTTTAATTTTTGGAATTTTAGTGAGCAAATTTGCCTGCTAAACCTAATGGTTTAAGAAATAATTAAAAAACTTGAAATTTAATATTACATACTTCAAACATGTGTTATTTATTAAATTATAACATCAAAATATGTTTTGTTTTTTAGTTTCTGTTTTTTAGTTTCTGTTTTTTAGTTTCTCATCATTATTTTATGAAGTATGAAATTTATTATTAAAATTTTTATTTTAGTAGAACTCTTTGAATCTTAGAATATTTATTTACATTAGTTTTTGTTATCAACTTACAATTTTATGCCAGATCATTTTATCTATGTATTTATATTTTAGATAGTAATCAAAAAACTTGAAATTTTAATATAACATATCTCAAATCATTTTAAACTATAAGTTTAGAGTATAAAAACATGATTTTTCATTAATTTTTACATCATCAATAAAGTTCAGTGGCAATCATTTGTGCAAATCAATGTTAATGAATGATTAAAAGACTTGAAATTTTAGTATAACATATTTCAGAATATGTTGCATATATATACTTAGAACATTAGTACAAGTTTTTTTCCACTATTATTTCACGAAAAAGTTTTCAGTGACTTTTGTCTGCCGAGTATATATTAGGCTTGTTATCAATATTTGAACGTTATTCAATAGAAAAAGAACAATCAGATATGATGCAGCAAATATTACGTAAAAATAAAAAAAGTAAATACAAAGATATTTGTTAGATTAGGTCTTTCTTGGTCATATTTGTGGATTAAATTTTGTATTTACTTCCAATATAAAAAAATTTGTCGATTTTGCATGGAACGGCTAAGGAATTCCAAGAACCGCTCATGAACTTGTCGGAACCAGTTCCCAAAATATATAAAAAATAATTATTGCGCATTTTCCAAATTAGTTCCTGCAATTACACTAATTCCGAAGTAGTTCCCAAGTTATCACTTAATATTTTGATGCAGTTCCCTGCAATTTCTTTCATAGGGTCTAGAGTTGAGTGCCGAAACATATTTATCCAAGCCTAAAGATTTCGGGTT